TTTATTAAATGTATTTGCCACCCATCTAACCACTCTGGGCAGCTACCTTAATGTTGATAATATCTATACTTATTTCTATAAACATTCATATTAGGATTTTTTCTCTCTCACAAATATTAAAGCATATATTGAGTATCTGCTCAACAAGAGAAAAAGCATGATGAGCAACATTTAGCCCCCAAGTAGTTTTTCCATCCACCCACATAATCCTGCTCCATTCCAAGCAGTTCTGGGTTCCTGTTCAAGGGTGTCAGATGACATTAGTCTTACTGGCTGCCAATCCTAGTGGAATGATGTTCATAAACAAGGGCAGGAAATGCTAGTTAAAACTTCTGGCTCTTTTAAAAGAAATGAATATAGCATTACCAAGGCTTTACAAAAATTAAAATTAAAAAAAACCCCTTTTCATCATAGATTACATTAAAAGATTCTGTCTTCATGAGTTCTGACGGTTGCTTCAAAGAATCAAAGCTAGCTTTGAACTTCTGGTGTGCTTGCATGCATACACATATTTTTCCTTTTAAAAATAGTATTTTACACTCTCACACATACCCACAGCTTACTGCCTTCTTTTTCCCCCCAGAGAGATTATTTTTTGTGAAAATGGGAAAATGACCTAAAGCAAGCTGTATGCTTATACATTTCTCTTAAAACATAGCAAGATGTAGACAAACAATGCTTATTAGCTCAAGTGCTTAATTGGCAACCAGTTGCAGTGACTAAGGGGGATTTTAATTCTTTGCTTTTGTTATACATTGTTGATTTTTACTTACGTTGAATGTTGGAAAATGCTAGGTATATAGATGGGGGAGAAAGGTGTATGCAAGATATTCTTGGATCTAAGCCATGGAAGACACCCGATCTAGTTCATAGTTTAGATAAATATTTGGGAAGCTATTCAATTTGACTGTCTCCAGTACAGACACTCTATTAAAAACAAAAATATGATTTTTGGCAAGAATACGCTTTGATGTGTACAGAAAAAGAAAAGAAAAAATACCAAGAATAAGACGTCTGAAGAAGTGTGGGTGGCATAAACTTCAAAAAATATGGACATTTTCCCTGGACAGTTTTATTATATTTATTGTTATTATTGTGTTGTGTCACAAGTTTCAAGTTTTTTACCTCATTTGAGCGGATTTGAATGTGACTTCAGAGCAAAAATATGTGTTAAGTCTGCACTCTCATGGTAAATCTTTTCTAAACAAAAGATAAATCTTTGAACTCTGCAGAGACGCTGAAGATGATGGCTTAGCTTATATTTACATTTTTTGTTCTCAAAAACCAGCAAATGGTTCCTATTGGTTTGTAGTAGAGTTCATTAGCAGTTGAATCTAGAGGTTCAATCTATAGTATATGGATCAAAGTAATGCTTTGGATTATATATACACTAAGCCCACAATTGTTTTACTCATGGTTTGTTGTACAAGTCTCAATGGCTGGATTCACATATAATATACAACAATAAAATATGGTTTATATAAAGACTGGGCTCACACAATCTATAAGCCAAAATCAGCCGAACAGCATTGTGAATGTACAAACCCAAGCACTATGTGCCTAAATCTAATCAGGGATAACAGCTTTGACCATGCTTCCACCACTGCCATTTTCCAATTGTTCCAATTGTACAGGTATCAGGTGTGATTCTGCCTAGCTTCACCTGCTGCTTCCTGTCTGTTAGGAAGCTTATGATCCACTTACAAATGTGTTCAGGTACCACTAGTTGGTTTAATTTATTTAGAAGAGTGTCTGGAATGATGATATTGAATGCTGAACTGAAGTCTACAAAGAGGACCCTCACGTAGGTATTTGGAGATTCAAGGTGTTGTAGGATGTAGTGCAGAGCCATATTAACAGCATCATCTGTCAATTTATTTGCTTGGTATGCAAACTGCATGGGATCTAACAGTGGATCCATGATGGTTTTCAGGTGGACAGCACAAGCCTTTCAAAGATTTTCATAACTACAGTTGTTAGAGCAACTGGTCTGTAGTCATTCAGTTCCTTGATGAAAGGCTTTTTTGGCACTGGGATGATAGTAGAGCGTTTGAAGCAAGAAGGAACATAGCACATCTCTAGTGATCTATTGAAGATTCGGGTGAAGATGGGGGCCAATTGGTCAGCACAGACTTTTAAGCAAGAAGGAGTTATCTTGTCTGGCCCTGATGCTTTTCCTGGCTTTTGCCTGAGAAATAGATGTTTCACTTCTTTTCCTGTGATCACCAGAGATTGTAAACCCAATGGATTGGTGTCAGTTGTAGGAGGCTTGGCTGTTGCTGGTGTGTTTGAGATGGGGGTTGTAGAGATAGGTGGCTGTAGTTTCCTTTCAAACCTGCAGTAAAACACATTCAGGTCATCTGCCAGTTGTTGATTTCCTTCAGCATGGGAAGGAGGTTTGCTATAACCGGTGATATTTTTAAGAGTTTTCCACATGTTTGCTGGTTCATTTGTTGAGGACTGATTCCTTAACTTTTCAGAGTAGCTTCTTTTTGCTGCTCTGATCTCCCTTGTTAATATTTCTGGCCTGATTCTCTAATGCTGTTCCTTCTCTTTCCCACCCTCTTATTCAATGTTCTTCCACCTTTACAGACCCTTTGGAAACCATCCCCCCACCCTCATTTGTATCTCTAAGAACACCCTCATCCAATTGTGGTTTCTTAAGCCGATTCTGTTGCTTGATAAACAGGCTCTTCTCTTGCTGGGAATGATTCACAACCTTGTCTGAAGGGAAACCTTGTGGGTATGAGTTCCACCCACAGCACCACATTGTTAGAATGACGCCATCATCTACATTCTGCATTCCTTTCAATAAGAGCCATATAAATCATATAAGAGAAGAGTGGGGGAAGAGTGTGTGTGTGTCAGTCTCAAAAAGTTTTTTGCTAGGTGTGGGTGCTTCAGGCATTCTGAGGGACAAAGACTGTGAAGGTGTCTTACACATGCCTTTTATTAACATTTGTTAGTTGAAAAAAGTGCTGATTTATTACAAAAGGCTGACATATTTATGATTGCACCAGTCTTCATGGACCCGAGTCCATTTTACCTAATGCAAGCTTATGTTATGGTACATTTATGAAATGCTCCAACAATCCCACTTTGTTTGCCAAACATGGTATCATGTTATGTGGCCATAATAGTAACATGTCACTGTCTCCAGAATGTGCTTTGTAATGGATTCTCTGTATATAAAAACTCAGGATATCTGCAGAAGATCTCTTTCAGGCCAACCCTTCTCACAGAGTTGTTATGGGAAAATAAGAAGTGGAAGAAACATTATATATGCTTGCTGCCTTGTGTTACTAATAAAGTAATAAAGGTGGGATAAAATCAAAGAAATAAAGATAAGTAATATTATATCTAAATTGTTTTTGTTAGTTTTGTGTCTTCAAGTCAGCCTTGACTCCTGGGACATTTTTTCCAAGGAGAAAACCACATCTCCCAACACAGGGAGTATATAAACAGGGAGCAAACCACACATTCACAAGCACTGATATTACCTTTTGAGGTAATGAACCGTTTGCAAGCAAACAACCAAGATAGTACCAAGGTCTCCATAGTTTGACCCTGAGCTACATATATTTTTTTCTATCGGGATAAATAATGAATAACCATGAAGAGGATAGAAAGCCCATCTATCATCCAGTTGGGAAGTCTCTTGGATTGATTACAAGTGCAATTGTTTTATTGTGTGATAGAAAATCCCAATAACTGAAGAAACCATGCTGTGTATTTCACATATACATGGAATAGCAGAGGGGCCTCTGCAGGGGCAAAATCAAGTCTTATTTTCTGCTATCCTCAACTGTAAGCTGAAACAGGACCTCTCTGGAAAAAAACGGACTACCTAAAAGGCAAGCACTCATGTCTTCTTTATAATGGAAAATAGGTTTCAATACATCAGTAACTTCCTTAAAGAAAAGAGAACAAAGCATGGAAGAAGTGATGAAAGATAGATAGCAAAGAGCTGAGGCTTCCTTTTTCAGTTCAGCAACCTTCTCTGAAAGTTGCCTAGAAAGGGGAGGAGACTTTTATCTGTGCTGTAAGTTCATTAATTGTGTTAGGAAGGCCAACTAAGCAATGTCTAAAGATTTGGGTCTTCCCAAATCCTGAATATACACTTCCTCTCTCATCCTGGTCGCCTTGGGAGATGTTTAAAGTCCTAACTTCCAACACTGAAGTCTTCTTTCTGTCTACTATCTTGTGGCCTGGCCTGTTTTGAGGAGGATGGGCTCAGATAGGACATCTTGTGTTTTTTGAGATCAGAAAAGCTATGAATAGTGGCTATTAATCACAATGGCTCTACATTATCCCTAATGTGAGAGGGTGGAATGCTTTTGACTATCAGTTGCTGGGAACAAACCACAAATAAGAAAAGCCTTTTATGCTCCTTACTAGCCTGTGGGCTTTTGAGAGGCATTCAATTGGCTGCTTTGGGAACAGGAGACTGGTTAAGATAGGACTTTGGACTTTTCTTAGATAGGACAGCAAAGATACTAAATCAATACCAGAAGAGCCACTAGAAATCCAGAAACATTAGCTTTGAAGACAATCCTTATCGATTTCATAAGAGTTATTTTTACTTTGCAGTAACAACTATTGCCTAAGACAAATATATTGTAATCCAGCTGTTTAGGACCTGGAATCTTCCAGGTGTGTTCAATTCCCATAACCTCATGGCACTGGACAAGCTGCCTAACATACCAGATCACAGCAGGAGGCCATCTTGGAAATTGGTTGGAATCCCTTCAAGTAAATACTTGTAGTCAAGTCTGAACATGCTGCGTTGCACTGCCCAGTCTTAGACATATTCATTTAAAAGACCCATAATATTTATTTAAAATAAATATGCCTAGGAACAGCTCTTCAATAAAAACTTTTTTTCTTCAGCGCAATAAAGTTTTAACACGTTTAATGAAGTGCAGGGGAAAATATCGAATTATAATACAACTTTTCACAAATTATATTAAAAATCCATTTATTTTTGTATCTTGTACATATACAAGAAATGCGTCTTACAGAGAAATTTTGAAAACAAAAAAGTTAAGTAAAAACATAAATACATATATATTTTCTTACGAAATGTCAGATTTACAAAATGTACATTATGCATTTTTAGCTTGTCTTATGCTCATTTTAAAAATTCCCAAAGAAACCAAAGTATCAGAAACAGGAAAATCAGATATTACAAATGAATCAGTGGAACATTTTTCTTGCTGTTTATTCCCCAGTATTATACTAGAAATTCTTTTCTCCCTTCCTTTTCAATTCTTCGTTTTTTAATAGTGGTAATATTTTGTAAAGGTATCCATTCATTAAAAAAGATATTGGTGCATTCTGGAGAAGGAAGGGGAAATCCAAGTATGGCTTGTTAAAAGCCCCCAGTTCTCAAATTAATCTAATGGATAAAATTAAATAGAACCCCCTTATGTTTCCAGCAAGCTAGCTAGTGAAATGTAGCATTTCAGAAAGGCTTCTGAAATCAATTTATTTCCATCAGTGGACTCTTTGATGAAATGATACATATAATGATGTAAAACTTTAACTTCAGACATATTTAATATGCTGATCATTCAAGAAAGGAATGCAGGGAATCTTGAAAGAAAACACAGTTTATGAATAAGACACATCAATTCCAGCATTTCCTTAAGCTGAAAAAACCTTTCCTTATCAGGAACCAGATTCTACAGAATTCCACAGGACCTTTTCTAGATAGGAGTTCCTAAGACTGTAGCACTTTCAACAGAGTGATTGTGTGCGACCAGGGGAGTCTAAATCCTTGAATCTAAACTGGATGCAGGATAGAATGGGGTCTTTCCCAGGTACATCAACATAGCCTTAATCAAGGCAATCTTTTGTTGTAGAATTAAGGCTGTATTCCTAAATGCCCCCACTAATGAATAAACTCCCTGAAGTAGTAGTACTTCAAGTTCATGTAAATATCTGCAAGAAACTGATTCCCAATGAAGGCCACAATTAAGAATCTATTGGTTTCAAGGGAATCTAAGAGCATATTGAGGTGCCTCCCTGATTCAACCAGGACTGCAAAATATCTTTTCCTCCTCTTTCTCAGATTCTAGGTTTTCCCTCGGCCCCATTTATAAATCAAAGAGCGATACACATGATCAGCCAGGGAAACCAACTCTAACCTTGTGAATATAAAACCTCATAGATGCTTTAAAAGGCTTGTTTGATTATTGGCTGTTTTGTTGTTCTAAATAAAAGGGGGGGGGGAGAGACAACCTCAGCTTTTCTCCAGTTACACAGGGTTTCCTGAAAACCCTTTCCCTTGTGTTCATAAAAAGAAAATAAAGAGCTGCATTACTCACAGCTCTAGCTGAACCTCAACAAATTCTTTGTTAGTTTCGCCATAAAAACCAAACCCCTGCTTATGGTTTGCTGCAGAGAAACCCACTTTTGTTTCTCTTTTGTCTCCTCTAACAAAAGACAAGAGAGTTAAAGCCATTCTATCAAAAATCAACATGTCACTTCTTTTTCAGACCCTTTTCTTTCCTCCCCCACCCTTGCTCCTCCCTAAAACCTCAGCAAGACTCTTTTGCCAAAACCCAAATCAGCCAGGAAGAAAACTTTGAAAACTGGAATGCAGAATTTTCCTTACAGCCTGACCAAACCCATGCGCTGCGGATTCAGAAGTTAAGCTCAACTAAGTGTGAGGTAACTTGCTCCCAAGGCAAGTTTGCATCGCTGGAAACCATTATGCCTTTACTTAGGAGTCGGTCCCATTGAATCCGGTGGAGTTTAAACTTCCAAGTAAGTTTGCAGTGGACTGCACTGCTACAATATGGAGGAACCCCCATTAAGACTTATTTGGCAATTTCCTTTTTTAAAAGGAGTGAACATGAACACGTGTGCGCATACACAAACACACACTTTCTCCCTTCTCAGAGCTTCCTGGGTAACTTTAGAAAGACTGTAAACTAAGATGCTGATTTGGGGGAGGGGTCTGATTTGGCACCCTGTCACGCAGTAAAAAAGATAGCTTGTTTTTTTTCCCTCTTTTTGTCCCAAACTTCCATTCTTGGCACTATGCCACATACTCTAAACAGATACTGCAGAACCATTTGGAAAGTGAGAAGGCCATGATGAGGGAATAAGCAAATTCTCAGAGAATATTTATTCTGAAGCACAGTCTAGAGATGGAGGGTCTCTTGGTGAGAAGCAAAGGTAGTCTGAAGGAATAATGGTCCAAGCCCTTGTTCCTTGCAACGCAAGGGGAGAAGAAGCCAAGGGACCCTCATACAGCAGTCTCTCCTTTGCTTCCAGTGCTGAGTCTGTGGTAAAAGCGCCTCCAAGATTGGAGTGTTTTGCCAGTCCAAATCCAGAAGCCAGTTGTGATACCCACAATCATGGTCATGAGATACTTGATCAAAAAGACAGTGAAGTCGGGGCTCATTGGGGCAACATTGGTGGGGCAAGCAATGGCATAGCTTTTGCAGTTCTGCAGGAGCCAGGTTTTCTCCCACATGTCCCGGAAGGCCTGCTCATAGAAGTAGCAAGCCAACACAATAGTGGCAGGCACTGTGTAGAGGACACTAAAAATGCCAATCCTCACCATGAGCTTCTCCAACTTTTCGGTTTTGGTGCCATCATGTTTCATGATGGTCCGTATACGGAAGAGGGACACAAAGCCAGCCAGCAGGAAGGAGGTGCCAATGAAGAGGTAGACAAAGAGTGGGGCCAAGACAAAGCCCCGCAATGCGTCTACACTGTAGATGCCCACATAACAGACTCCACTGAGCACGTCCCCATCCACCTGTCCCATGGCTAAGATGGTGATGGTCTTGATGGCAGGCACGGCCCAGGCAGCCAGGTGAAAGTACTGGGAATTGGCCTCAATGGCCTCATGGCCCCACTTCATGCCAGCAGCAAGGAACCAGGTGAGGGAGAGGATCACCCACCAGATGGAACTGGCCATGCCAAAGAAGTAGAGGATCATGAAAAGGATGGTGCACCCTTCTTTCTTGGTGCCCTGCACCACAGTGCGGTAGCCATCTTCTGAGAAACCTTCCACACACACCACTTTGTCTTCCAGCAGGAAGCCAGCCACATAGGCCACTGCCACCATGAAATAGCAGCCAGAGAGGAAGATGATGGGTCGCTCAGGGTAGCTGAAGCGTCTCATGTCCACCAGATAGGTCAGGACAGTGAAGAGGGTGGAGGCACAACATAGGATTGACCAGATGCCTACCAGTAGACGGGCAAAGCGAACCTCAGCCTCCTTGAAGTACATCAGTCCATTGGGGCGTTCTGGTTGACAAGGGGCACCACAGTCCCTCTCACCCAAAAAGCGGTAGCCCAGGTAGGGGGGTACTTTGAGCTGCCGTGGGCAGGAGAAGCCAGAATTGGTGGGGAGCAGGGGGTGAGCTGTGGGATGGGGCAGATACGGGGTGGGATAAGCGGTGGCACTTTCGGGGGGCCCTCCTCCCGCTCCCGAAGTGTCCGAAGTATTCTGCCCCACGCAGATCTCACCTGCGCCGTGCATGGGGAAGTTTTCGCAGCGGAGCCGCTCGGGCCACTGGAAGCCAAACTTGTTCATCAGGGCCTCGCAGCCCTGGCGAGCCCGCTCGCACAGGGATCGGCAGGGCGGGATGGCCTGTTCCAAGACGGTGCAGACGGGCGCGTACATGGAGCAAAGGAAGAAGCGCAGCTCCGGCGAGCACTGCACTTTCACCAGCGGGTAGAACTGATGGACTTCCAACCCGGCGTCTTCTTGGTTGGTGTGCCCCAGGAGGTTGGGCAGGATGGTCTGGTTATAGGCGATGTCCGTGCAGAGAGGAATCGAAATGGGCTGACAGAAGCCGTGGTCCGGGACAGAAATTCCTTTCTCCCCATGGTAAGATTGGGCGCCAGAGCCCCAGGGAATCCCGCATAGGAAGCCCAGGAAGACGACCAGGCCCGAGGAAGCAGGGGCCGGCCTCGTTGCTCTCGGTCCTCGATCCATGATCCGAGGCAGCGGCAAGGAAAAGAACGAGCGCGGCGGGCTGGCAGCAAGCGGCGGGAAGCGGCTCTTCACAGCCCACAGGCACTTGAGTCTCAAAGCATCGGCGGCGCCCAGCCCAGACCCCCGAGAGGGCCAGCGGCGGCACAAGGCTGGCTTCGCTCTTCCCGCAGTCTGCTCTCGGGTGGAGGAGGTGAAAGAGGCGGATCGCTCGCCAAACCGGCTCTCTCGTTAATCGCTCGCCAAGGGCTGGATGGTAATTCTTTGCTAGGGTTGCAAGGCGAAACGCTACTCCGGTGTATTCTCTTCCACCGAAGACAGAGAGAGCTTGACGGCGCCCAACAGCGTCGTCTTCTTTCTTCGGTCGGCCGCGAAGCAATCTTGGGACGGAGGAGGGGAGGATCCTTCACAACTTCGACCGCAGGAACTGGCTTCACTTCCCAGCTGGCTGTTCAACCCCTCCAAAGTTCGGGAATTCAAGAAGTTGGCTTACTCTTACTTCTTCGTTTCAGGCGTGCCTTAATCGACGAGTTCGGTGTGGAGTCTTTGTTTTGGGGGGAGGGGGGGTAAAAAAATCCAATCACTCAATTATCTCCTTTACCAGCAATGGGGCTAATCCTTTAAAAAGAAACATGAGTAGTCCGATATCCCGTCGGCGCCCTTACGCATGGAAGATGAAATCTCTCTCTCCAGCAGCAACAGGAGAGACTAGCTGCCGTTGGAACAAGCAACATCCACCCTAAAAGCAAAAACAAAACAAAAAAACAAAACGGGAAAAAAGACGCCCCTGCACTTTGAATATATATATATATATATATATTCGTGTATGTGTAAGTCTGTATTCCATGGAACTCCACCCCTTCGCCCCATTCACAACCGAACAGCGGGCGGGCCATAGAACTGAAGCTTCTACCAATGGAATATTCTGTTGCTTCCGTACCTCGGTTGAGGGTTGGACAGAAAGATAAAAGCCTCTAAAGAGCATGGATTCTGTAATGGTGGATTCTTCTGCAGAAAAGTTGAAAGAAAGTTTCAGACTTCTGAATGGAAGAGAGGGACGCTTATTCGCGCGGATAGTGGAAAAAAAGAACGGTGTTAATCTCTGGTAGGCAAAAATCAGAAGGAATCTGGTTTTTTAAAAAGAAGACGCCGAGAGAGTGAGAGCGAGAGAAATCAGGACATAGCTGAATCGCATACAACTGTGCTCGAAATTAACTTTTTTCTTTTTATAAAGGGATTTTCCGCATATACAACAACTACGGCCCTCCTAAAATAATTTTTTGAAAGCCCGAAATTCACATGCATGATGGCCTGAAAAAAATATCTTTATTCACTGAATTTTATAGAGTTCTTTTACCTCAACTAATTGAATAAGATTCCCCTCCATCATAAATACTTAAGAGCCGGCATTCAAAATAACAGCAAATATTTTGAAAATGTGAAAACAGTAATTGGGGTTGTGGAAGATAAACCTGAAACCACGTAGGTTACAAAAGAAATAGACTCAAGACTTTTAAAATGTTTTCTATACTAGACTTAGTCCAGTGCTTTAAATCCACAGTTGCTTACTTTTGAGAATATATCCTTTTTTAAATGGTGCAAAACTCATAAGATTGACTACATGTTTCATCATAAAAACCTCATCCCCCAGTTATGTGTACAAGACTTTGATGTATGTGTACAAGACCTTCCGTACAGCAGGAAATACGTAAATCCAAAATCACAAACCGAACTGGTGTATGCTTGCTCTCAATTTCTTTAGCAGGACACCAACAATTTAAGGAAATGGTTGGAGGAATGCAGCTTGAATTAGAAACATTTATTAAAATGCATTTAAACATCTATTAAAATACATTTATGTTGAATTTTTCCTTTGCTTATAGTAAAGATTATTGAATACTTTTGCTTGTCATAATTTAAACCTGCTGGGGATCTGGAGGTGGAAATTACCTGAAAGATAGACTTGATTAAGAACTACCTTCATGAAGCTTGGTCGAATATGCAGTGTAAATGTGAGCAAATAGCCTCATGAACATAACCCAGAGATTAATCTCCCACCACAAGGATTTGGGTTTGCAGCTTTAGCTTCCCAATCACATGTACGTTTTAGAATAGAATAGAATAGAATAGAATAGAATAGAATAGAATAGAATAGAATAGAATAGAATAGAATAGAATAGAATAGAATAGAATAAAGAGGTAACAGAATTGGAAGGGATCTTGGAGATCTAGTCCAACCTCCTGCTCAGGCAAATAACCCTCTACCAGGGGTATCAAACTCAAGGCATGTCTAGCTTATGATGGGCTTAAATGTTTATCAGTTTATATTTGGAATCCCCATAGAGTCTTTTGGTTCTCAGCTACTTTTTCATTATTGTGATTCTGACATTTTCTTGTTACCAATAACTAGTGCTTTTTTAAAGATTCCAGTGAATCAAGAGGCCACTTTATTTATCAAAAATTCTGTATGCTCAGTCTTCTTACAATCACATACAATATGTTCTTTTCATTAAAGTCTTCATCTTTTGTTGTCCTCATTAAATAACTCCTCCTCCCTCTCCTCCTCCTCCCTCCCTCCTCCTCCTCCTCCTCCCCCCCCATGTTTGATAGCACTTATGAAAGATATTCTCACTTAAAAGTAATAAAGACTTATACAAAGAATTGCAGTCTTACACCTACACAATTCTATTTTTCTCATGTAATCAGCTGTCATGTTGCAATATATATTTTAATGGCAGGATTTGACTTGCTTTTAGTTTGATTCTGGAAAGAAAGCAGTTGTTTTTTTATTTGTAATTGCAAAATGCTAAAGCTTTGTGGTTAAAAACATTTTGTAACCACATATAGCTTAGTCATATAAAACGTTTTTAGAAGGGTTACACTAGTAACATATCAAAAGTAAGGTCTTCAGTAGGAACCATTGTGTTTAACATTACTAAATCTGTGGTAGTATTTGTTTTAGCTTAAATAGGATCGAGAGTGTTTGTCATCCATATTCAATTGTCTATATAGAATGCCTATCTTTATCACAGATTTATATTTCTCCTAAAATATTTAAGTACTATTGGAAGAATGATCTTTCTGGGTTCAGTTCCAAGTGGAGAAGAAAGACACTGGAAAACATGGTGACTGCTCGGAAATATGGTTTAATGGTGGACAGGATCACATGCCTTGGAGCTCCTAGGTGAAAAGGGCGATCACATGCTTCAAGATGTTGGGATTTGAATTTGTGCTTGTATTCTGATTGGTTGTCAGACTCCCATGGGACCATGCAGGAGCAACTCTGTAGGCTGTCCTGAGCCCCACGCTTGGTTGAGCCTCGCTGGATGTAATGAAAGGCTATTATAGCTCTACCTGGAGAACTTTCTTATGTAAAATAGACTGGCCTAGGCCAGAGTAATGGTCCATTAGCAATGGTGGGAGTAAGCTTTTGCTTCTGAGGTGAGTTTCTGCTTCTGAGTTTCTACTCTTCTTAGGGGAAATATTCTGCCTTTTTAATATTTCCTAGGATATTTCATTTTTCTAGGAGAGGGGTAGGTGCTAACTTCTTACAGTACTTCTAATATTTAATTTTTGCTTTTAAAGGAACCCTTGATCTTTTTTTGTTTTCTTAAAAGTTCAATAATGCTACAATCATAAAGTTTTCATTTAGTTCATTAATTGTTAGAAAATGTCTGGTTTGATTTGAATATCCTGCACAAGAATAGCCATGTTAATCTGTTGCAGCAAAACCAGCAGAACCTGAAAGACTAACTAAATTAATTACAGCATATGCTTTTGTTGATTAGCCTCTAATGAAGTGGACTAATCCATGACAGTTTAGGTCATAAAAATAATTGACAGTTTTAGGGTGCCACAGAACTGTTGTTTTGGAACATTCTGCTTATTTTAATTAGGTGCACTCCAATAAATGGTCATTAAATTCACATGCCATTTACACTCTGTATTTATCATATCTATATCCCATTTTCCCCCAGAAATTTAAGGTGATTTATATGGGAATCTTCAGTTTCCCCCCAGCAGTAATTACCGTGTTTCTCCAACAATATGGCCCCCCCCAATAGGAAGACCCAGCATGTTTTCTAGGCATAAAATGAAATTAAACCCCTCCCCCAAATTTAGGCCTAGTTTAAAACATGCAAAATTGGGGGGGGGAGGCGGTGGGGACTTGCCATTAGGAGTGCTCCGCGGGCAGCTACGCCTCACCATCAGCCGCTCCTAACACCATGGTGGAGCACGGAGGGCTTCCTTACCCGTCCCTTACCTGGGTCAGCAGGCGGGCGGTGTCAGCATGGATGTCCAGCAGCATTTCAGCCGCTTCTCAGGCCTCCGTAGCTTCCAGAGTTCCCACCGGTGCTGGCGCCTCTCTCGCCAGCGCCACCTCCAACAACAGCGTCTGAGTCACTCCTGCTTTTCCCCCATCCCCGTAACAACAGGGAAAAAAAAGATTTTGAGGTACCTGGGAGCGCCGCGCGCTGCGTTTTGGTTTAATCCCGAGTGTCTGGGTGGGTGTGAGAAGAACCGAGCGAGCGTCTCTGCTGCTGCTACCCCTGGTGCTCCAGCCTCGGGCTCTGCAAGTTTGCAAAAGTCCCGGTGTGCAGCCCGTTCCTGCATTCCAAGCACTCAGGCCGAGCTGCAGCTGTCCCTCTCTCGCCAACGGCATCTCCAATAACAGCGGCAGCAGCAGCGGGAACCCTGGAAGCATTTTAGCCGCTTCTCGGGTGGGGGAGCTGCCTCCGTAACTTCCACAGTTCCCGCTGCTGCTGCCGCTTTTATTGGAGACGGCACTGGTGAGAGAGGGACAGCTGCAGCTTGGCCTGGGCGCTTGGAATGCAGGAATGGGCTGTGCACCGGGACTTTTGCAAACTTGTAGAGCCCGAGACTGGAGCACCAAGGGTAGCAGCAGCAGAGATGCTCGCTTGGTTCTTCTCACGCCCACCCAGCCACTCGGGATTAAACCAAAACGCAGCGCGCGGTGCTCCCAGGTACCTCAAAATCTTTTTTTTCCTGTTGTTACGGGGACAGGGGAAAAGCGGGAGCGACTCAGACGCTTTTTTGTTGGAGACGGCGCTGGTGCGCGAGAGGGGGAAAAGAAATTAATTCACCCCCAAAAAGACGTCCTAGCCAGTTTTTCGGGGCTCAAAAAAAAAATAAGACTCGGCCTTATTTTGTGAGAAACACGGTAGGTGAAGTAGATTGGGCTGAGACATAGAATAGAATAGAAAATAGCATAGCATAGCATAGCATAGCATAGCATAGCATAGCATAGCATAGCATAGCATAGCATAGAATAGAATAGAATAGAATAGAATAGAATAGAATAGAATAGAATAGAATAGAATAGAATAACAGAGTTGGAAGGGATCTTGGGGGTCTTCTAGTCCAACCCCCTGCTTAAGCAGGAAACTCTACACACCACCACAACAGATGACCGGGTGAATTTTTAAGACCAATGGTTGATTTGAGTCTGATCTCCCAGGTGAAGTCAGCAGTCCTACTACTCTTTCATCAGCTGAGGGAATATTCTTCTCCAGAAAATGTGTGTGGTCTGTACTCTCCTAGTATTTAAGGGACAAAAATAATAAAGTCACATCAGTTTTGCCATTCTTTTAAATTAGACCCAATCTTAATGATACTGATTTTAATTTTGATATATGTTGGGTTGATTTGACTAACTTATTTTAATTACTGGATTTATTGTTTTAAGTATCTTGAGTGTTTATATAAGTATCAAATTGGGGCTATATTTAATAATAAAATAAAAATGAAATGATATATTAAATGTATTGTGTATTCCTTTTGTATACCA